GAATGCGCGGCATTTTGACAGCGCCCCCACAGGCAGAGGCAGATGCGTGTCGCTTGAAATAGTGTCTTTCAAAGTCAAGCCATGATGCAATCTTTCACAACTTCTGTCATTTACACTGTTGCTTTGTGGGTATATAAACCAGTATCAAGAGTACGAGTTGCATTTACAGTCGACTTCGCTTATAACGACACTCGGCGGGGCATCAGAAAAGTGTCCTTATTCGCGCGAAGTGTCGTTATACCCGAAGTCTCTTTATATTATGTGTCACAGTTGGATGGGACTTTGCTCTGGTCTTGAAAATTATGTCGTTATTCGCGAATTGTCGTTATATCCGCAGTCGTTATTAGCGAAGTTGACTGTACTCGTTACTGTTTTCTGATGATCGCTTTGCGCATGAACTCGGAGACATGAACTCGGAGTTAATTTAGAGGCAAAGGCCATCAACATACGTCGTCCTGCTGTGACAATAGTCACAATACCGACGCCTCTCGAGAAGGCGTGCACCCTGTACAGTCTTCAAAGATCCTTGAAACCTCAGTGAAGACATGGCCATGATATTCATCAGTTCGAGGCGTTGAAAATGGAGGATTATGGACATGACCTGATTAAGTGGTCATTAGTATGAGCAAGAGTACAGGGGGTTATGTACTCTTGGTATGAGGTATAAGCAGTGGAAAAGGTGAACCGTGGCGTCTGAAGAGGAAATAATACCAATATTATGACTGAGTGAACTACTTCAATTTTCGCAAATCCAAACCCTTTCTGTCACCACCCCACAAAGATTCACCGAGGGTTCCCTGTAACAAGGCTATGCCTGTTGGGACTCCCCTAGTCAAATAATAAATACTACTACTAGTACTACCACCAGGACTCGAACCAGGGACCTTCTCTAACCTATATTGGATACATAATCTGCGGACAGAACCGTTGCGTCCTTTGTGGACGCATCCGCGCAGCGCAGTAGAAAATGAGGCCGAACCTGGTAGAAATGAAAAATAAATTTTCCAAAGCCAGATCTAAACCAGGCCCGAACGTACTGAGCACGGTCTTTGCCAGAGTGTTCAAACTGACAAGTCAGTGAGCTCTGCATAACGGTGCATTAAATTTTACAAAGTGTCTGGAGTCTTTGCTGCAAACAGTGCTCAATACCTCAAAAAGGGTAGAGCTTACCACACGGGGCAGAACAACAGAGACCAAAAACACGACTAAAACACGAAACGAGAAAGATTTTTGGTCTCTGTTGTTCTGCCCCGCGTAACGGTACATTTATGTAGATAGGCCAGCGATGCCCACAGGAGATGAGTAAGAAAAGCCGGTTGGAGGTACTCACGCGGATACGTGTACGTGTACGTGTGGTTATGACACCGCTGCGAGTGTGAGAGGATGTGTCTATGTACTGTACCCTCTTAAAAATCCGTATACAAGGCATGTGCATTGTATGTATGTGCTACCCGCAATCGATCGGCCGAAACGAAACGTGCGCTACGAGCTACTTCGAAGTACAGTACTACATGGATATCGACTCTATTGTGTTTGTAGTAGTAGTAGTAGTAGAATTTATTATTTTGATAGGGAAGGCCCTACAGACGTTGCCGTCTTGTTTGTACATGCGTGACTGGCACACGGTACTGAGGTTACTGCTAGTATCTGAGATACATACCTGAGATAATCCAGACATCTACCCGTTGTGTGCATGTACTGTTGATGAAGGTCGCTAGTCGAGGCTTATCGCCAGGAGAGATTGTAATTCACGCTTTTCCGCAGCAGAGCTATGCATGCAGCTTACTCCAGATAGTGTAAGTGATATATCAGCTAGCTGTAGAGGCACACGAAGGGTTAACCTGGACCGCTGCCATCGCACCGCGGTACCTCCTCATAGTGTGGACGGGCTCTTAACTCCTATGAAGTGTCCCGTATACATGTACACGATCCACACATGTAGCTGCCGGTGGAGTTCTATTCGTCTACTACTACATGTAGATGTACGTACCAGCAAATTAGCCAGTTGACTGCCACCGCCGCCACTATCCAGGGGGTGTACTAGTAACAGCGGTAGTACACTAGATCACTCTCAGCTCAAGTCCTAACGCCGCGCCGATAGAGATCAACTAAAGCAGTAAAGGCCCCCAGATTACAGCAGAGGTTCGGGCAAGGAGCAATCGACCAGCTCCATTGCGTGCACACTGTAGTCTGTTGCTTTGCAATCAGTCGCTGTCACTAGCAGCAAGAGTCCATGTTTATGCACTCTTGCTAGCAGCATCAGCAGCTGGTCACGTGCGTCTCTACTTGGGAGAGGGGGAGAAATGGAGGAGAATCTTGGAAAGACGACATGTTTGAACGCTTTGCATGAAGTTTTGGCTTGAACTATGCATGATGGCTGACACATGCATAAGCACATCTGAAATCCATAATAGCCACCTAGAATTAATTCGTTGTTTCGGGTCACTTCACTCATCCGTACCAGGGTCGGTCGGTCGGGTTTATTTTTTATTTTATTATATTTTTTATTTTGGTTACGTCCATGTGCATACAGTCATGTACATCGAATACCGGTAGCTTTTGTCCATCTAGCCAGTCGATCAAATCTGACTGTAGTGTAGACAATCCAGCGCAGTCATTGTCTCATCAGATCCAGGTCCCCTCCAGGACCAGATCTTGGCCTCGCTGGCAAACGAGTCTTACGAGCAGCTCTCACCTTGAAAACTTCTGTAAATAGCGACAAGGTGGCGGAGCTGATGCTGTTTGAAGCCTGTTTCACGACCGATTGCGGATCGGAGATAGAAGACAACGTCGTCACCAAGCGCTGCATCCTGTCATTTGGCTAGCCATGGCTGCTTCTGAGCAGGGAGTAGTAAAATACTACTCCCTGCTTCTGAGTCACTTGAAATCTGAGGTCGATATCTGGACTGCTAGTATTAGGGTCGCGTGTGTACATAGTCTAGTCTGTACATTTGCATGCACTATAAAAAAAAAAAAACATGTTGCGGTCGGGTGATCCGAAACAACGAATTAGTTCTGGATGGCCTATGGATTATAATTATTATGCACATGCATATCTGCAATACATTTCTGTCTTTTTGATACACATATTGCATACTAATGATTGTGAAGATCGGGTTTAGTGACAGATCGAATAATATTATAGCGACATTTTGTTTTCTCCCGAAGGAGTGTCGTTATAGTTATACCCAGTCTCTACTGTACTGTAGTAGTACATGTAGTTAGTGTGCCTGTTCCAAGCACTGGTCGAGTCCGCTGATACAGTAGTAGAGGCACTCTGCAGACACTCTTCCTGCTGAAGCCGTACTGACACTGTACTAGTAGTAATAGTGCAGACCATGACTCATGATAGGTAGATTGTATTGACAATAGCATCTGTAGTCCGTAGATCAGGAGTACTACAAAACTGTCTTTTTAGTACTCCCTGAATCCCCCTGCCTGATGGACTACAGTGGAGTCTCCAAACCCTGATAAGTGATCATGGTGATCATGGTGATAGACTGATAATAATGATTGTAGCGATGTTGGTTTTGCCTTTGGTCGCCTGCAAGCTGGCAAAATCACGGTCTGGAAAGGCTTTCTTTCCGCAATGCTTTTACGGGTGTGCTCACGTTGTCGAGGTGTTTTGTGAGCCCACGATTATCATGATTCCTGCGCTTGTGCGACGCCGGAATCGTGCCTCGGGCGCTGAATTTAGAATGTCAAAAACCATGCGAGACCACAGGCAAACCCTGGCTGCGTGGATCACCGAGCATGCGGTGCGTATATCGCGAACACTCCTCATCACAGGAGAGCTCTTGTCGTCAAATAATTAGGTCCGCCAATCTGATAATTCTTTCCTGATTCTTCCCACGTGTGCATGTGTTCTGCAGACCATACACGCCATTTACTCTGTTGGCATGGAGGTGATTGCTACGTGAATCCACACTCGGGAATTCCCTACTGTCATTACCCAGAGGACTCCAGTGAGTACCAACCGTAACGTGTCACTGTGCTTGTTAGCTGTTGTTGTTGCTGCTGCTGCTGCTGCTGCATATAACTGTGTGTATGTGTGTGTGCGTGTGTGTGCGTGTGTGTGAACTTTCTTGTGCGTGCGTGTGAACTTTCTTGTGCGTGCGTGTGAACTTTCTTGTGCGTGCATGTGAACTTTCTTGTGCGTGCGTGTGAACTTTCTTGTGCGTGCGTGTGAACTTTCTTGTGCGTGCGTGTGAACTTTCTTGTGCGTGCGTGTGAACTTTCTTGTGCGTGCGCGTCTGTGTGGGGTGAGAGGGGGGGGGGGGGGGAGGAGGGGTCTGTGTGCGCGCATGCATGAAGAATACATGCTCGACCCTCCTTTCCTGCATGTGTGTTTGATAGGGACTAGGACCATTCCACACTCTTTTGATAACCACGACCATACACACTCATACCTCGGTTATCCGGACACTGAAATTACGGCACTTTGGTCTACTGGGCAACCTTTGGGCGAGATTGAGTGGATATCATTACTAGTCCTTCATCAGTTTTAGAAAGTTGAGACGTCATAGTGACACACCATATCTCTGGCCTTTGCCCATCACCCCGTTTGTGATTCAGATCGAGTTACGGATCGAGTGCCCGTTCCCAGAGGTAGTACTCCTCCCAGACGTCTGTTTAAACGAGGTATGAGCGTGCACATACACATTTGCACAACACACGTGCACACTCGGGTTATTTTACTTTGTCACAGAAAGTACGCCCGATGGCTAAAAAATGGGGGGGGGGTGTGACTTTCCCGGTTCTCGTGCCATCCAGCTCGGCTGAGTTTTCAGCGTCTGTATAATTACAGTCGACTCCACTTATAACGAACTCGCATAATTATAGCGAATTTCGTGATATAGCAAACCGTTGTCCATGTCCCAGTTTGAACCTACAGTGTAAGTTCATTTCTGTTTATATTAACGAACTTCAGCCATAAAGAACTAATCAGTGTCCTGCACATTGGTGCTCGTTATATCAGGAGTCTGCTACATGTACTATGAATGATCACTGACATCAAGGATCCAGGCTCAGATGTAGATCCTGCTATTAAAGCTTGTGCCAGTTAGTTCAGCAGACCTTACCTGGGGACAAGAGACAGAAATCCCATTGGTTAAGCTGCTTTGAACTTGTCGAAACAGTCAATCTGCAATGTCCAAACTTAGCGGCTTATTTCTTCTTCCCCATACACATAAAATATCAAATTAAAAAAATAAAAATAATTTATACGTTTTTTCCCGTTCGTGTTGCTGCAGGCGAGGCGTCCGGTTCGTGGTCGTCGGCGTCTGACTCGAGTGATGGCGACAGCGGTTCGTTGAGTTGGGACAAGCCCCACTCACCCTGGTACCCGCACTACCACCCGGGACCCAAGGCTAAAGGCGGCGACGAAAAAGGGCACACTCCGAATTGGAAGCCGGAACCCGAAACGGAAAGTCCTGCAGTTGAATCGCCAAGCGATGATGGGTCAGGAAGCGATAACGGCTCTCCGAGCGATGATGGTTCACCAAGTGATGATGGCTCGCCAAGTGATGATGGATCAGGGAGCAATAATGGCTCCCCAAGTGATGATGGTTCGCCAAGCGATGATGGTTCACCAAGTGACGACGGCTCGCCAAGTGATGATGGATCAGGAAGCAATAATGGCTCCCCAAGTGATGATGGCTCTCCAAGTGATGATGGTTCACCAAGTGATGATGGTTCGCCAAGTGATGATGGATCAGGAAGCGATAATGGCTCTCCAAGTGATGATGGTTCACCAAGTGATGATGGTTCACCAAGTGATGATGGCTCGCCAAGTGATGATGGATCAGGAAGCAATAATGGCTCGCCAAGTGATGATGGCTCACCGAGTGATGATGGTTCACCAAGTGATGATGGTTCACCAAGTGACGACGGCTCGCCAAGTGATGATGGATCAGGAAGCAATAATGGATCCCCAAGTGATGATGGCTCACCAAGTGATGATGGTTCACCAAGTGATGACGGCTCTCCAAGTGATGATGGATCAGGAAGCAATAATGGCTCCCCAAGTGATGATGGCTCTCCAAGTGATGATGGTTCACCAAGTGATGATGGATCAGGAAGCAATAATGGCTCCCCAAGTGATGATGGCTCTCCAAGTGATGATGGTTCACCAAGTGACGACGGCTCGCCAAGTGATGATGGATCAGGAAGCAATAATGGCTCTCCAAGTGATGATGGTTCGCCAAGTGACGACGGCTCGCCAAGTGATGATGGATCAGGAAGCAATAATGGCTCCCCAAGTGATGATGGCTCACCAAGTGATGATGGTTCACCAAGTGACGACGGCTCGCCAAGTGATGATGGATCAGGAAGCAATAATGGCTCCCCAAGTGATGATGGCTCCACAAGTGATGATGGTTCTCCAAGTGATGATGGCTCGCCAAGTGATGATGGATCAGGAAGCAATAATGGCTCCCCAAGTGATGATGGCTCACCAAGTGATGATGGTTCACCAAGTGACGACGGCTCGCCAAGTGATGATGGATCAGGAAGCAATAATGGCTTCCCAAGTGATGATGGCTCCCCAAGTGATGATGGTTCTCCAAGTGATGATGGCTCGCCAAGTGATGATGGATCAGGAAGTGATAACGGCTCTCCAAGCGATGATGGCTCTCCAAGTGATGATGGCTCTCCTAGTGATGATGGCTCTCCAAGTGATGATGGTTCACCAAGTGACGATGGCTCGCCAAGTGATGATGGATCAGGAAGCAATAATGGCTCCCCAAGTGATGATGGCTCACCAAGTGATGATGGATCAGGAAGTGATAACAGCTCTCCAAGCGATGATGGCTCGCCAAGTGATGATGGCTCTCCAAGTGATGATGGCTCTCCAAGTGATGATGGTTCACCAAGTGACGATGGCTCGCCAAGTGATGATGGATCAGGAAGCAATAATGGCTCACCAAGTGATGATGGCTCACCAAGTGACGACGGCTCGCCAAGTGATAATGGCTCGGGAAGCGATATTGGCTCTCCAAGCGATGATGGTTCACCAAGTGATGATGGCTCCCCAAGTGATGATGGCTCGCCAAGTAATGATGGGTCAGGAAGCAATAATGGCTCCCCAAGTGATGATGGCTCTCCAAGTGATGATGGTTCACCAATTGACGACGGCTCGCCAAGTGATGATGGATCAGGAAGCAATAATGGCTCCCCAAGTGATGATGGCTCCCCAAGTGATGATGGTTCACCAAGTGACGACGGCTCGCCAAGTGATGATGGATCAGGAAGCAATAATGGCTCTCCAAGTGATGATGGCTCCCCAAGCGATGATGGTTCACCAAGTGATGATGGTTCACCAAGTGACGACGGCTCGCCAAGTGATGATGGATCAGGAAGCAATAATGGCTCCCCAAGCGATGATGGTTCACCAAGTGATGATGGCTCCCCAAGTGATGATGGTTCACCAAGTGATGATGGCTCGCCAAGTGATGATGGATCGGGAAGCAATAATGGCTCCCCAAGCGATGATGGTTCACCAAGTGATGATGGCTCCCCAAGTGATGATGGTTCACCAAGTGATGATGGCTCGCCAAGTGATGATGGATCGGGAAGCAATAATGGCTCCCCAAGCGATGATGGTTCACCAAGTGATGATGGCTCTCCAAGTGATGATGGTTCACCAAGTGACGACGGCTCGCCAAGTGATGATGGATCAGGAAGCAATAATGGCTCCCCAAGTGATGATGGCTCACCAAGTGATGATGGCTCTCCAAGTGATGATGGTTCACCAAGTGACGACGGCTCGACAAGTGATGATGGATCAGGAAGCAATAATGGCTCCCCAAGTGATGATGGCTCACCAAGTGACGACGGCTCGCCAAGTGACGATGGATCAGGAAGCAATAATGGCTCTCCAAGTGATGATGGCTCTCCAAGTGATGATGGCTCACCAAGTGACGACGGCTCGCCAAGTGACGATGGATCAGGAAGCAATAATGGCTCTCCAAGTGATGATGGCTCCCCAAGCGATGATGGTTCACCAAGTGATGATGGTTCACCAAGTGACGACGGCTCGCCAAGTGATGATGGATCAGGAAGCAATAATGGCTCACCAAGTGATGATGGCTCGCCAAGTGATGATGGTTCACCAAGTGACGACGGCTCGCCAAGTGATGATGGATCAGGGAGCAATAATGGCTCTCCAAGTGACGATGGCTCACCAAGTGATGATGGTTCGCCAAGTGACGACGGCTCGCCGAGTGATGATGGGTCAGGAAGCGATAACGGCTCTCCAAGCGATGATGGTTCACCAAGTGATGATGGCTCGCCAAGTGATGATGGATCAGGAAACAATAATGGCTCCCCAAGTGATGATGGCTCACCAAGTGATGATGGCTCTCCAAGTGATGATGGTTCACCAAGTGATGATGGCTCGCCAAGTGATGATGGGTCAGGAAGCAATAATGGCTCTCCAAGTGATGATGGTTCACCAAGTGACGACGGCTCGCCAAGTGATGATGGATCAGGAAGCAATAATGGCTCCCCAAGTGATGATGGCTCACCAAGTGATGATGGTTCACCAAGTGATGATGGCTCGCCAAGTGATGATGGATCTGGAAGCAATAATGGCTCCCCAAGCGATGATGGCTCACCAAGTGATGATGGTTCACCAAGTGATGATGGCTCGCCAAGTGATGATGGATCAGGAAGCAATAATGGCTCTCCAAATGACAATGGTTCGCCAAGTGATGATGGTTCACCAAGTGATGATGGCTCGCCAAGTGATGACGGGTCAGGAAGCGATAACGGCTCTCCAAGCGATGATGGTTCACCAAGTGACGATGGTTCACCAAGTGATGGTGGCTCGCCAAGTGATGATGGATCTGGAAGCAATAATGGCTCCCCAAGCGATGATGGCTCACCAAGTGATGATGGTTCACCAAGTGATGATGGCTCGCCAAGTGATGATGGATCAGGAAGCAATAATGGCTCTCCAAGTGACGATGGTTCGCCAAGTGATGATGGTTCACCAAGTGATGATGGCTCGCCAAGTGATGATGGATCAGGAAGCAATAATGGCTCTCCGAGTGACGATGGTTCGCCAAGTGATGATGGCTCGCCAAGTGATGACGGGTCAGGAAGCGATAACGGCTCTCCAAGTGATGATGGCTCACCAAGTGATGACGGTTCCCCAAGTGATGATGGTTCACCAAGTGACGACGGCTCGCCGAGTGATGATGGATCAGGAAGCAATAATGGGTCCCCAAGCGATGATGGTTCACCAAGTGATGATGGTTCACCAAGTGATGATGGCTCGCCAAGTGATGATGGATCAGGAAGCGATAATGGCTCCCCAAGCGATGATGGTTCACCAAGTGATGATGGCTCACCAAGTGACGACGGCTCGCCAAGTGATGATGGATCTGGAAGCAATAATGGCTCTCCAAGTGATGATGGCTCGCCAAGTGATGATGGATCAGGAAGCAATAATGGCTCCCCAAGTGATGATGGCTCACCAAGTGATGATGGCTCGCCAAGTGATGATGGTTCACCAAGTGACGACGGCTCGCCAAGTGATGATGGGTCAGGAAGCGATAACGGCTCTCCAAGCGATGATGGTTCACCAAGTGATGATGGATCAGGAAGCAATAATGGCTCGCCAAGTAATGATGGCTCACCTAGTGATGATGGCTCTCCAAGTGATGATGGCTCGCCAAGTGATGATGGATCAGGAAGCAATAATGGCTCTCCAAGTGACGATGGTTCGCCAAGTGATGATGGTTCACCAAGTGATGATGGCTCACCAAGTGATGATGGATCAGGAAGCAATAATGGCTCTCCAAGTGACGATGGTTCGCCAAGTGATGATGGTTCACCAAGTGATGATGACTCGCCAAGTGATGACGGGTCAGGAAGCGATAACGGCTCTCCAAGTGATGATGGTTCACCAAGTGATGACGGTTCGCCAAGTGATGATGGTTCACCAAGTGACGACGGCTCGCCGAGTGATGATGGATCAGGAAGCAATAATGGTTCCCCAAGCGATGATGGTTCACCAAGTGATGATGGCTCCCCAAGTGATGATGGTTCACCAAGTGATGATGGCTCGCCAAGTGATGATGGATCAGGAAGCGATAATGGCTCCCCAAGCGATGATGGTTCACCAAGTGATGATGGCTCACCAAGTGATGATGGTTCACCAAGTGACGACGGCTCGCCAAGTGATGATGGATCTGGAAGCAATGATGGCTCTCCAAGTGATGATGGCTCACCAAGTGATGATGGCTCGCCAAGTGATGATGGATCAGGAAGCAATAATGGCTCCCCAAGTGATGATGGCTCACCAAGTGATGATGGCTCTCCAAGTGATGATGGTTCACCAAGTGACGACGGCTCGCCAAGTGATGATGGGTCAGGAGGCGATAACGGCTCTCCAAGCGATGATGGTTCACCAAGTGATGATGGCTCGCCAAGTGATGATGGATCAGGAAGCAATAATGGCTCCCCAAGTGATGATGGCTCACCAAGTGATGATGGTTCACCAAGTGACGATGGCTCGCCAAGTGATGATGGGTCAGGAAGCGATAACGGCTCTCCAAGCGATGATGGTTCACCAAGTGATGATGGCTCGCCAAGTGATGATGGATCAGGAAGCAATAATGGCTCGCCAAGTGATGATGGCTCACCAAGTGATGATGGCTCTCCAAGTGATGATGGTTCACCAAGTGACGACGGCTCGCCAAGTGATGATGGATCAGGAAGCAATATTGGCTCCCCAAGTGATGATGGCTCACCAAGTGATGATGGCTCTCCAAGTGATGATGGTTCACCAAGTGAAGACGGCTCGCCAAGTGATGATGGGTCAGGAGGCGATAACGGCTCTCCAAGCGATGATGGTTCACCAAGTGATGATGGCTCGCCAAGTGATGATGGATCAGGAAGCAATAATGGCTCCCCAAGTGATGATGGTTCACCAAGTGACGATGGCTCGCCAAGTGATGATGGGTCAGGAAGCGATAACGGCTCTCCAAGCGATGATGATTCACCAAGTGATGATGGCTCGCCAAGTGATGATGGATCAGGAAGCAATAATGGCTCCCCAAGTGATGATGGCTCACCAAGTGAAGATGGTTCACCAAGTGACGACGGCTCGCCAAGTGATAATGGATCAGGAAGCAATAATGGCTCACCAAGTAATGATGGCTCTCCAAGTGATGATGGTTCACCAAGTGATGATGGGTCAGGAAGCGATAATGGCTCCCCAAGTGAGGACGGCTCCCCAAGTGATGATGGCTCGCCAAGTGATGATGGATCAGGAAGCAATAATGGGTCTCCAAGTGACGATGGCTCACCAAGTGATGATGGGTCAGGAAGCGATAATGGCTCCCCAAGTGATGATGGCTCGCCAAGTGATGATGGCTCGCCAAGTGATGATGGATCAGGAAGCAATAATGGCTCACCAAGTGATGATGGCTCTCCAAGTGATGATGGCTCCCCAAGTGATGATGGCTCGCCAAGTGATGATGGATCAGGAAGCAATAATGGGTCTCCAAGTGACGATGGCTCACCAAGTGACGATGGCTCACCAAGTGATGATGGTTCACCAAGTGACGACGGGTCGCCAAGTGATGATGGATCAGGAAGCAATAATGGCTCCCCAAGTGATGATGGCTCACCAAGTGATGATGGCTCGCCAAGTGATGACGAGTCAGGAAGCAATAATGGCTCACCAAGTGATGATGGCTCTCCAAGTGATGATGGCTCCCCAAGTGATGATGGCTCGCCAAGTGATGATGGATCAGGAAGCAATAATGGGTCTCCAAGTGACGATGGCTCGCCAAGTGATGATGGCTCACCAAGTGACGACGGCTCGCCAAGTGATGATGGATCAGGAAGCAATAATGGCTCCCCAAGTGATGATGGCTCACCAAGTGATGATGGCTCGCCAAGTGATGACGGGTCAGGAAGCAATAACGGCTCTCCAAGCGATGATGGTTCACCAAGTGACGATGGCTCGCCAAGTGATGATGGATCAGGAAGCAATAATGGCTCCCCAAGCGATGATGGCTCACCAAGTGATGCTGGTTCACCAAGTGATGATGGCTCGCCAAGTGATGACGGGTCAGGAAGCAATAATGGCTCACCAAGTGATGATGGCTCTCCAAGTGATGATGGCTCCCCAAGTGATGATGGCTCGCCAAGTGATGATGGATCAGGAAGCAATAATGGGTCTCCAAGTGACGATGGCTCGCCAAGTGATGATGGCTCACCAAGTGATGATGGTTCACCAAGTGACGACGGCTCGCCAAGTGATGATGGATCAGGAAGCAATAATGGCTCCCCAAGTGATGATGGCTCACCAAGTGATGATGGCTCGCCAAGTGATGACGGGTCAGGAAGCAATAACGGCTCTCCAAGCGATGATGGTTCACCAAGTGACGATGGCTCGCCAAGTGATGATGGATCAGGAAGCAATAATGGCTCCCCAAGCGATGATGGCTCACCAAGTGATGCTGGTTCACCAAGTGATGATGGCTCGCCAAGTGATGATGGATCAGGAAGCAATAATGGCTCCCCAAGTGATGATGGCTCACCAAGTGATGATGGCTCTCCAAGTGATGATGGTTCACCAAGTGACGACGGGTCGCCAAGTGATGATGGATCAGGAAGCAATAATGGCTCCCCAAGTGATGATGGGTCACCAAGTGATGATGGTTCACCAAGTGACGACGGCTCGCCAAGTGATGATGGATCAGGAAGCAATAATGGCTCTCCAAGTGACGATGGTTCGCCAAGTGATGATGGTTCACCAAGTGATGATGGCTCGCCAAGTGATGACGGGTCAGGAAGCGATAACGGCTCTCCAAGTGATGATGGTTCACCAAGTGATGATGGTTCGCCAAGTGATGATGGATCAGGAAGCAATAATGGCTCCCCAAGCGATGATGGCTCTCCAAGCGATGATGGTTCACCAAGTGATGATGGATCGCCAAGTGATGATGGGTCAGGAAGCGATAACGGCTCCCCAAGCGATGATGGCTCACCAAGTGACGATGGTTCACCAAGTGATGATGGTTCACCAAGTGACGACGGCTCGCCAAGTGATGATGGATCAGGAAGCAATAGTGGCTCCCCAAGTGACGATGGTTCACCAAGTGATGACGGCTCGCCAAGTGACGATGGTTCACCAAGTGACGATGGATCAGGAAGCGATAACGGCTCACCAAGTGACGACGGCTCGCCAAGTGATGATGGGTCAGGAAGCGACAATGGCTCCCCAAGTGACGATGGATCAGGAAGTGATGACGGATCTGGTTCGTCGAGTGATGGCGACGAACCTCCCAAACCTAAATGCATCTACAAGCACGGCAAGAAATTCTGTGCGTTTGGTGACCTGAAGGAGGATCTGAAGAAGTCTCTTTGGCAATGGATCTGTGATCATCTGGACAACTGGTGGGCCAAATATTGGTGAACGCTATGATGCTACCCGCGTATCTTTGTTTCTCTCACTTAGCTTTTAGTGTACGCTAAACTGTGAATTTGTTTTTTCTATCAATATTATTTTACCTGCCGATGGGTTTGCAGACAATTAGAAAACAGAGCAGAACGTGGCGTTATTGCCCCTCTAGTTTCGCGCTTACGCGATTGTCGGGAATGAATCATTCTAATAATAGCATTTACCATTTGACCCTTTTACCCAGCTGATGATTATCGCTGGGTTTCTCTGACTGATTTCTAACGATTTTCATAATTGAGGATTATATTTACCTGCATGATTTTATAACCTGCATTTTCTGACGTGACCGTGATTGGCATGTGTCCTTTCACTGATTTTCTCAGAGTCAAATCCGAGTGCCATGTAGTGCACAATTCCATTATTACTTTAACTTCTTTCTCCTGACTCTTGTCTCTGAAAAGTACGATTCCTCATGAACTTACAGGCGCGTGCGCCGGTGGCCTTTAAGGGGGGGGGGGTTCCGGGGGCCTCCCTCGAGAAATTTTTCAAAAAGATGAAGCAAAATCCTTCATTTTGAGCGAAAAAATGGGGGTTCCGGGCACCCAGGAACCCATACGGGGCACACGCCTGACTTATAATCTACGTGGAGACAATAGTTGAGTAAGAGCTTTGAAAAGGATACATGTGTATGCCGCCGCAGACACCCGGCACTACGCAACATGACAACTGCAAGTTAGCGGTTTGAATGTGTGTTGGTTCTGAATCGATTTTGGAAGACAAACACATTCAAACCTCTAAGCAGTTGTCATGTTGCGTGCTGGTGTCGGCAGCATTCTGCATGACGATTGTATACCTGTCATGGCTCCTGAACATGTGTGACCGGGCGTTGAGCTCATTACTGGCTGCACGTGAAGCTGTATTCACCGGTGTGTATGCCGCCGGTTGAGTGCATGATTGTAAAATAAATGTGCCGATCAGTGTTTAAGCATAGCCTGCTTTCGTACTGACATGTTTTGTGAACGGTTACATGCGCTCTTATACCTTGTATCGGAATTCAAAGCCGGATGTGCTCCAGGGAGCTACTGGTAGTGTCTACAGCGGCGGGAGGTGAAATCCAACAAATCCAACCCCATGAGTAGAGCAGAGTCACGCTTCACGGCACAGTCCGCTGTTCCAGTGCTCGGGTTGTACTGTTCCGAGACTGGTGCATGTTTTCGGCTCCCGGCTGGATTTTACTTGCCATGCGAACTGGTTGTAAATATAAGCCCAGGACTTACGGCGAAAATTCAGCATTCCATGCCATCATGTGCTTAAGGTGCCCGGCTAAACATGTGGATAAGTGTCCTGACTCCTGACCACTGCACTCAAATTGCGGCGAGGGGTTCAAAGTCCAGCAATTAGCATCACGGTATTCAAGTACAATGTATGAATCATGCATGCAGAACCAGCTCTGAAGGCTGTGCAGGCATGCACCGCATACTAGTAATATAAAATATTGCACGGAGAAACGGATGGAGGGAAGGCGGGGGGGCGGGGGGGGGGGGTGCGGAAGGGGGAGAGGGGTGGGGGCAGGCAGCAGAGGAGGCCCCATATCAAGCAGGGTGCATTGGTGTTAGCCTTGTCAGTGAAGGTAGCTAGTCAGAACTGGTAAGCAAGATAGATGAAATTGATCATTAATGAATGATGTAGGAAGAGGGAGAGTGGAGGAAGAGACGGGTCAGTTGGGTGTAAAATCTCGCGGCGGGGAAACCCCAAGATAAAATTCAGAAAATAGAATCAGCTCCAAGGTCGATATAGTCTGGAACTGTGCATGCCTGGTTCTGTTTCCAGATGCGGTAATAGGAAAAATAGACGCATGCGGGTTTTCTTTTAGAGTTGGATGAGAGCAGAATTTAATATCATGGCAAACCAAGTGTGCGCGTGTGTTAGATGCCGAGCTGCGGTCCAGTATGTGTAAGGTCTGCCTGCACCCGGGCTGCAGAATTAAAACAATGGGGCCATACTGTAAGCTGTGTGTCAGCTTTAAAAGCAAACGTTGCCGAGGTGGCACCGCTCTTGCCGGGCCAGCTTCTCCTGGTCACGGGCGTGCGCATGCAGAAGAGAAACGCTGGGCGATTGGTGCTCCGTGCTGATCGTCATGGCGCCATGCCTCGAACTGCAGCACACCCGCCACCACAATGCAACCAGTGCTTGTTGGCATTAACACAACGAAAAAGAGAAATCCCCAACAACCGGAGGAGAGCGTTGAACAAACAGTACCAACGTCTATTCTTCTTCGATCGCTGGCGCTTCCTGCATTAGGTAGCTGTTGATGTTGTTGCGGAGACGCTTGCGCCAGGACATTTGCCGCGGCAGATCACTGCCACCACCGGCAACATTGGACATGGCACGGCCGCGACGCTTCTCCGGCGGCTTGGCCGGACACTCTTCCTCGGACTCTTCGTGCTGCTGTGGCTGTGGCGGGTCGTACGCTTCGGCTCTCGTTGTCGCCGCCGACAACGATGCCCTGGCGGGCTGAACTGGCGACCTAGCACCGTCCGATGTTCCTGTTGGTGATCGTGATGATGATGATGGTGTGGTGATACCTTTGTCTGGGGATGTGACCGTGGCGTGTGTTCTTCTCACCGGCGTAGGTGATCTGCAGCGGGCACAACAACAGTGATTGTCATGCCGTAATGTCGCGTAATAAAGCCGGGTTTATTCCCGTCGAAGCCGATGTAAGGGCTAGGCTTCTATTCACATCAGGCTTCTATTCAAACCAGGTATTTCTAGGCGAGTCGACACTAAAACCAGGCTGATGTGTCGACAGTGTATCTTGAAAATCAGGCTTCTATTCGAGACAGGCTTTAATACAAGACACTGCGGTACCTGCCAACCTTTGCAAGCCTGAGATTGGGACAATGACATACCTTGTTACCTTGGTATGAACATCAAGGATGAATTTACTGTCAGGTTTTTGCACAGCAGTTTTTTGCTATGCAAAATCTCAATTGTGGCGTAAGCTACAAAAGGCATGGATAGCCTGTATGTGTGTGTGTACGGCAGTTTTCTGCGTGTCACTGTGATTTTGAGTAGCAGTAGATCGATTTGGCGTAGCAAACTGCGATGCGATACCGGATAAATTCATCCCTGAACATGTATACAAATGTAGCTGTGAGGGGCATGGGACAAAGGCACTTTTGGGTGCTTATTACTACCACCCTCGATATCGGGACGGTTCCGGCCAAATCGGTATGGTTGGCAGGTATGGATTGTGCTCGGGCATTCTCACAATTACTTCCGTCATGGCCGAGGGGGTGTTTTCTCGTTGCTGGATGTCATCTCTCTGAATGGCCATGGATTGCCTTGCTAAATCCCTGCAACCACTGCCTCTGCAATCACCCAAATCAAAAACAGTCCCCCCCCTTCCAGCACACAGAGCTCTAGTACAGTCGTCCCTCTCTAATCCGGCACTTGTTTATCCAGCACCCTTGCGAACCAGCACACTTTCTGGCAAAACGGATTTTTTAAGTTAATTTTCTACGCTTTAATCCGGCACTTGAATTCCGCCTCCAGCAGCAATTTTCTGCAACAAATCACTCAAACTGTACTTAATTCGATTTTCTAATCCAGCAGTTGTACATCGCATACTGTCAGGGACCATTGTAGCATACACAACACATGTAACATACACTTGAGAGTATTCTATGCCAGTGCATAGAATATTCCCGGCAAGTGTATGTTAAAGACATGCATTCCACAAAGCAAAAGTACTTGGTTTGACACAGAAAATCCCTACGTTTTGACGTACGACACACACATGTATGTTAACATGTGGGTCGGGTTGGAGGGCAGGATTTGATAATCCAGCACCCTTGTTTATCCAGCAGAAAATGCTGTTGCAAAAGGTGCCGGATTAGAAAGGGACGACTGTATCTACCACCACCCCAAGCCGTTAGCAGCAGCAGCAACAGCAGCAGCACCACCACCATTACCACCACCGTCAGCACCAGCAGCACCTCCAGTAGCACCAGCAGCATCACTCCCTCGACAACAAGGCATGCACAATCAACAAGCAAACGCATGGGCAAAGCACGCGGACTCACAGTTTCTGTACAATGGAGCCGACTATTTTAGGCATAGCACCGAGCTCAGATGCATCAATAGTACTGGAGCGGTTCCTGCCATTCCCCGTCTTGGCAGGAGACATTGAGGTTTGTCGAGACGACTTCGGACTTGTTGCTAAAAAACAAAACAAAATATGAAGCAAGCAAGAGCAAACAAATTGATTATATTTAAAAGGATCTTTCAAGGATGGACACTGAAGCATACCAGAGGCAAATCCAGAAAGTCTGCTGAATGGAGAAACAGGCAAACAGGAACACAGTCACACTCACGAGCTCGTCCCCGGTCCGGGAGGGGCAGGTCGAGGTTACCTCCACGTGGACCCTGCAGCAGCCAGTTGTGCAACTTGACCTGCTTGAGCGTGGCGCGGCGTATCAGCGACGTGGACAGCAGCTGCCGCAAGAGATCAGTGCAATCTGTACAGCAATTGGATGTGAAGGTGACATAATCAGAGAACATATTCTTTCCCTGCATCGCTGGCCTATAGCAAAAGTCTCTGGTTCGAGTCCTGGTGGTGACGGTCAAAATTTCTTTGAACCTCAGTATCACCTTCTCTGACGAGCCTTTGATAGGCGAAACAGCTGTCAGAAGGAAATGGTTTACCCGTGACCCCTTCGTTGTTTGAAGTTATTGGTGTGAGTAGTGGCTACCGAGGGTAGCAATGGTCGGCTTTAGAGCGCATGGAGGAGGAGAGTTAGTTTCTTGTCTTAGTCACCTTACTCATAATATTCCCTTTGAACACCTTCAACTGATTCAGCAAGAGGTCACACACACACACACACACACACACACACACACACACACACACACACACACACACACACACACACACGCCACTGCTACGTTTTTTTTGGCAACCTGATCAACCATGCCAGCAACCAGACGATTCAATTGTAGACATTTCTCCTTGAGACAGCTGTATCGAACGGAACAATTATCACCAGTGAATCAAGAATAAAAAAAGGACCAGATAAAAAATGTAGAATGTTGAATTATTGGTTTGCCTACCCCTAAGCGCATCCAGTGGACTGCACCATATTTTCCAGAATAAGTCACCATTAAAAAAAGGTTTTTACACTAAACTTCAAGGGCACCGAGGAGGGATGCGGCTTACAATCGAGTGTGACATCCTGCTTACCGGTACTGTAAGACATGTTATTATAACGAGTTGCAAATTTAACGATTGTCCAAAATCCATTGGTTGACGAGAACATACGATAACGATATTGCAGTCTTCAGGCATATCCGCACATATCACGTATGTGGCCTTACAGCCTCAACAGAACTTATTATAACGAAGAAATTCCATCCGTTAAAACGTTAGATTTGCTTCCTCGTTACATTTACATGTCTTACAGTATATACATGTGACTAGATTGAAACACTAAGGCTGAAACTTGAAAATGGGGATGCGACTCATATTCAAGTTCGACTTAAAATCAGGGAAATACCATAATATTCAGCATGGCCAGGGCGACAGCGGGTAAAATTATCCTGTGACCGGCAAAGTGGTATTGGTCCGAGGTGAACTCAACAACGAAACTAACTTACCAAAGCTGAGCCGGCTGGGAAACATCAGCGGACTGTTGATCTGCATCAGCAAGCGCTTCATGTCACCTTCCTGATACGGCAGCTGGCCGCAGACCAGTGCGTATAGGACAACGCCGATACTCCACAGATCCGACGTTCTGCCATCGTATGGCTGCAGTGACCCATCAGCAGCAGCAGCCACGCAAGCAAGCAGACAATCAAAACAGAACATAAAGCAATTGAGGACAATGAACCGAACCACATCATGTGTCTGCTGATTGTTCAATCGTGACACTCGGAGTTACGGATAAAAAAAAACCGCCCGTCCTCTTCTGTGCACCTGTGCTGTGTGCATGGTTAAAAGGCTACATGTTGAGAGCTGTACGGCTGGTGGTGGACTTCTGCCCTATTGTGACAAGGCAGAAGACGAGAATGAACGAATATAAATTAGGAGACCACAGACAGTATGGCAAGCTACTGTTGGAAACAATCACAGCGGTGGACAGAGAAAGCTGGAGCATCTCTCAAGGCCACAGGTGGGTATTTTAACGAAGAGATAGTATGTACCCAGCCAGACCTTTATGAATCTGGGTGGAAGACTGCCGTGGCACACACACCCGTCACATGCACATTTCATTTTCTATGTGGCCATTTGTCACACGCGGCATTGCACGCACCATTGCGTGCACAGTAGATCAGTCAAGGCAGCCACTATGACAATGCCAACCTCCTACAACTGGGACCCAGGGGTGCCATTCCCGCCAAATAACCCCCTGGACAAGGGGACCAGCTGCACATGCATGTACACTACTGGATCACGCGTTTGGGGTCCATTGTGAGGTCGGCTTAGATATGGTTTTTTTCTGTGCAATACCCACGCTTCCACTGCGCCACGTCCTCAACAGCACATGTGCACTGCTGCATGTATGATCTAGTCTCATACCATACTACCTCTCAGTAAATTCTACTTACTCGCGATAAGTCACTCACTTTTTCTTTTCTTTTTTAATATGTCACACGCTCGCGATAAGTCACGAATTTTAAGTTGCACACTCGCAATAAGTCACGATTGTTAAAAGTCACGCGCTCGCGATAAGTCGTCCACTTTTGCAATTTGGACGGCATACTACTTTTGTATGCGTGTACAGTGTAATGTAAGTCACACTCGCGATACGTCACGCATTCTTGTCCACAAGATCGGGTGCATGACTCATCGAGAGTAGACTAGACTGTACTCACTTCGACTACACCTCGCACCCAGGCGCGTTGCCTGCATGGGGCATGGGGGACACGTGCACCCCCCCCCCCCCCCAAACATTTCGACCTTGGTTCAGCATGCACATAATGACCATGAATAACATGCACCAGCCATCCGACACATATTGCGGTCGTGCCCCCCCCCCCTCCCCCTAAAAGGGTGACCAGCTACACCCCCGCCTTACCTGCCCGTATAATATTTCCGGACACGCGTATGCGACTGACCCGCAGAACGTGTGCAGCAGCTGCCCGTCCCTGTACGGCGTCGCGAAGCCAAAGTCGGACACCTTGATGTTGAAGTCACGGTCCAGGAGGAGGTTCTCGCACTTCAAATCCCTGAGAAGAGCAAACAGGCCAGGGTGAATGAAGAAAGCAGGGGTTGATAGCAGGCACCAACATCATAACAATGTCATAACTCCGCACACCGACTTGGTATTCTATAGTAGACGCATGTCGTAGCCAAGTGTTCCGCTTCTGCTCCCTTCGAATGCACATGTTATAGTAAGTAGTGTTCAACCAACATCATGCTACCCCGGATTGATTACAGCCGGGCAGAGAAGCGGCAAGTACGAGAGAGTACAATGGGGTAGAGTCTGCTGTTTGTGCTCTGCCCAATACGTGACACGGTTCAGAGATATTACAGAGGTTTTACTAGGCGGAAAAGCAGTGTAATGAGCTCATCACATGTGCAACTGGCAATGAGTTAAACACACACACACATACACACACACACACACACACACACACACCACACTGGAACTCATTGGATGCTTTCTCGCACGTGTACACCAACTCACCTGTGGGCGATATTGATCGAGTAGAAGTACTCAAGAGCCGAGACCAGCTGTGAGAATATCTTCTGCGCGGTAGGCTCTGCTATCCGTCCCCTGCTGTTGATATAGTCCAGTAGGTCACCATTGCTGGCCACTTCCATTATCATATGGATTTGTTGCTTGTATTCAATGATCTCGTATGTCCGAATCTGCGAGTGGCAAAGAAAACAAAATTTTGATATCAAGCGGGTTTGTGGTGGATCCAAGCAAATGCCATACGCCATGTTTGAAGTGCATTGAAATCTGTCTAAGACGACCGCTCAAGGGACCTTGAAACGTGTCTCTGTTACCAGGTGGTCTCCTTATCCAGGGTCATTTGACTGGAAATAGCATCCCAGGCTTGGCCCTCGTTTCAGTGGCCTTCCAGGACAGGTGGTCGCCTTATCCGAGTGGTCGCCTTGACAGGTTTTACTGTAGCGGGATGAGCCTGTTTCATGCAATAAGGGACCCAGTGCGGAGGAACCTGTATCAAGAGACCGCTGAAATAAGAGACCACCTGTCTTGAGAGACCACCTGTCCTGAAAGACCACCTGTGTTGAAAGGCCACCTGTCGTCAGAGACCACCTGTCGTAAGAGACCACCTGTTGTAAGAGACCACCTGTCGTAAGAGACTCGTTATCTCACGCACTGAACCATGCTTCAACACCAGTCTATGTTCGCCTCAATGGCGAGGCCACCCACGCAAAAAAAATCAGCTTTCTGTACAACATTGGGTAGTCGTAGGCTCCTACTGTCACAATAAATTCTACCCTGGATGCAGACTTCTACATGCCAAGGTCCGACTCGACCAGGCCCTAGCCCAGTAGAGCATACACTGTGTGTCGGCAAGGGGAGGTTTCAGGGTCCACGATACAGTGCACTCAAATCGCATTGTCTATCGAGAGAATCTACACCGGATGCTGCCAGCACCTGCTAGCGGAATTCCACATGCCAAGATCAGACTCAACACGACCACATCCAGGTGTGTAGCTTGTGTATGCTCAGTACAGTCCGGTCACTACACAAGCAAAGAGCTGCCACACACGCTGTAAAGCGCCAAACGTTCGCGGCGTGCAAGTTTAGCGTTTTCATAAGGCCACACGTTTTTATTTCTATGTTTCTCGTCACCTAAAAATCTAAAAACATATGCGAGAGGTGGAAAAAAATAAAAAATGACCGAAAAATAAAAAAAGGTTTATCAGACCTTTGTTCACAATAAAATCCACCAATACACCATGCAAAATAGCATCCATAGTTAGCATAACTTAGCAACTAGTATGTGGTAGGAGCTTCTGTCACAATCTGTGCATGTGCAGCTAGATTGCGCACAATAATTGGTGACCTCGCATCATGTGTCGCGCAGGCCAGGCCACATTATGTACATGTGCATGAGTATGCTGGCCCCCACATGCACAGTCAGTGCAGCACATTTTTTCTTTTTTTCCTCCAGACTCCTGAATCGTATGCGCGCGGGTGACGAGAAACATAGATATAAAAACGTGTGGCCTAAACTGAGCTGGTTCACGATGAGAAGCTTTTGCGATTCTATCTCTTCAGTCGGATCTTGCACCGTCTACAATCAATATACGGGGAGGTTTGCGGCGATACATATTCGCGAATGTGTGACTGCCGCGAAAATAGAGAAAATTAACCTCTAGCAAAAGTTTCTCACTTCACAGTAGTCAAACTACCGGTAGGTAAAAATGGCAATTGTGAGTTTCCAGTGCCACATGGCCATCACAACACAAATGTGCGAGCTACGCCACCGGTAGCCCAGTAGAGCATACACGTACATGCATGCTCCCTGGCCCTAGCAACTTAGGGTTGTAAGTGACTCGCGCACAGGAAATCAGACGCTTATGTTTCAGAGCTGATCGTGAAAATTCGCCTGAGCAAACACCTGCGTGCCCTTACACAATTGGGGTGTTCGAGTTTCTGCAGAACCTCGATCTCGCGGGGCAGGAACTTCTTGACATAGTCTTTCGGGGTGCCTTGCCGGTTGATGATCTTCGATGCGACCTGGACATTAGAACAGAAAGAGAGAGAGAGAGAGAGAGAGAGAGAGAGAGAGAGAGAGCCCCAACTCCAATTGATGAATTGTGCTTCAGATAGCTAACTGCGCCACCCTAAAATACCTGTTGCGAAATTCTGTTCGACTATTATTTACGCATGTTGTTGTATTTGGTTCTTGTTTCGTAGAGTCCAGTGTCTGACGTCATGATTATGGCCTAAGTGTACGTGTTGGCTTCACACCTTCCGACACCCTGGCCATGAAAACATTGGTGATTCTATAAAGAATGGTAACTAGTGTCATGGTTTCAATTTCCATGTGCAGTGGAGCACTCTCGTAGACATACAATAGTCAATGGGCTTGTTCGACCATACACAATTCCGTCCATCCCAGAGTTCCGTACGACGCATTCGCTGTCCGAGAACACCAGCAATTTGGCCATCAGAAAAATAGAACCCGGTTCCGCCAATTCCAAACAGACGGCACGATTTCTGATGACTGTTAGGCGATTCGAACGACATGCTAACTCACATGCATCGCACTGTATGGAGATATACTCGTGAATCAGGGGAAACACAAGCAAAAACATTTTGAACTTGGATATGAGCCTTGTGCCCACGTTTGTGCTTTGCAAATGAAAGTATGCTTGATCGAGGTCGCTAAGGATACACCGATGCGTGCGAGATTTTGCGAAGTCCCGTGTGAATGCGCTGAGCTGCTTGCCCATGTGTGCACAAATGTTTGTCACGCATGTACATGCCGTGTGCTTCGCCTATAAACTTCCTGCCAGGATTTGGACGTTTGGTGTACGATTTCACGCGGGCGCGCCTGTCGCAGGTTTGATGATCAATGATAAGTGCAGAGTCAGCCGCACAAATGATCTTTCCCCACCGTTTTCTGGAGTAGATCGTAGGGAGTTTTAGCGACTCGTGAACGAGAGCGAAAACGAGTGACACGTTACCCATTGTGTTTAGGTTAAGCAACTCGTTGATAGTCAATATGCGCTAGCGCTAGCACTTGCACGGCGACGGTCTGTGCGCTAAAATGCATACCGGCAGGAGATCGCTTTTGGTCCAGAGCATGTTGTACGAGTGACTCGTACTCGTACTCGCAGAGGAAATCAAAATAGTTCGGCGTCGCGGCTGAGCTGGTCTAAACGTAGCCGAGGAAGCGACTCCAAATCATGCACACCACGGGCTTTCCTCGTCTAGTGCAAAGAAAAAGCAAGACTACGGTAGTTCCTCCTCATCAATGATCTCGCCGTAAGTCAGAAGGTGGACAAGAGCCTCGAACTCTTCCACCAGCAAAAGAAAGAAAGAGCAAGGGTTTGAACTTCAAGTTGAAGCTTCCCTCTTCTCAAATCAAACTCTTTTTGAATAAAATCTCCCATCTCTGGCCAGCTAGGACTTGTATGCCAGAACGATCAACTGCCTCTGATTCGTACAGAACGAGCCCAAGGCGCGGTGTGAAACGAGACTGCGAACCCAGGCGCTAGGCATCCGAGTCGACCACGGACTCGTAGATCCTAGGGACCGGCGGATTATGCTCGAAACGGTGGCAGATTCTGCTAAAAAAAGCAGTGAAATTGGCAGAACCATACAAACCATTTGGCGGGCAATTCCTCGAATTCTGCTCCATTTCTTTATCCACATACCAAACATGCATGAGACTTACCAGAAAAAGTACCGAATTCTGCCAATTTTTCTGCCGACAGAATCCGCCGGTCCCTATAGATCCCTCTACTCGTTTACGAGTTGCTAAAACTCTCTCATAGGGACCTTTCGCACCACGCGTACGGATACGAAACGAATGCTGATTCGTCACCTGGGTTCGAGGATTCGTCAGAGTCCTTGCGGAGAGCTCGTTTTCACGAATGGAAGCCTCTTCATTCGTGGCGCGCTCCGAATCCGTCAGGTACACATTATTTGCCAGGGGCATAATATTATGTTTTGCCAGGTACACATTTTCCCCTTGATTCCATGATCCACGCACGTGTGCGTGCAAACACCCGTACGCCAAGCTGCAGGCCGTATTCGTAGTTGCCATGGACATTTGCGCCACGACTTGCGAAACCTGAATCTGTTTCCAACGAAACGAGGACGAGCTGAATCAAACTTTCGTTTCGCATCATCTATTCGCACCAGATGCGAAAGGTCCCTCATGACTAGAACTCACGACGAATTGTTCGTTCATACATGTACTAGCATGTTAGTATGGCTCTAATCTGCTTCTTCCAGTCATTCAAGAAAGTTACAAGTCTAGGTTCTGCGTGTCTAGTTTTGTACGAGCCCAATAATGTGTATGAAGCTTCTGCGTTCATGGTTCTGACTAGAGCTGTACGTCAATTATTTTCGATTGATTCTTTGATGATTTCGATTGATCATTGATGGATTTGGGATGTATTGATGTAACGACACATGCGATTAGTAGCCATGACTCATGAGGATGCAACGACACATGCGATCACGGATCAGTAGCCATGAGGCTGCGAAAGCGCTGACATCTCTTTGGAGCAGGTTTCAGACGAGGGAAAAATGGTGTTGTCGGTACGAGGCGTACAGACACGTGGCGTGTCCTGGTGAAAGAGTCGAGTGACCATGATCACTGATGACACCAGACTGTCATTGCAGTACAGTGCAGTACTCACCTCTGCTCCTGTGCTTTTTACTTGCGCCCGATACACCTTGGCGTAGGCACCGACACCGATGCTGTTCAGCAGATGATAGTTGGACAGGTCCGCTGACACATGATCGTCCTCAATAACCACATCCTCGCCCTCTTTGTTCTGCCTCCGAAAAATGCTGAGGCCCCGAGTGCCCTCCGCCATCCTCCACTTGGATACAGTTCTAACAAACTAATGACAAAGACCAGACCATCTTCGACTGCAACCTGCTGTCTATCTCCTCATAGATGTAGAGCAGGAGAGGATGGAGAAAGATTGAGGGTGACACAAACCACCATCCTTCCTCGTCTTGGTATTCCTCTCCTGTAATCCGTCCTCTGGCTAGGCTCGACGGATCGGAAACAAAGACGTGTACAAATCGAAATGCTGGTGTCGAAAAGTGATCGTGATAGTCTTGTTGAACAAAGAAAGGGAACGCTTGTACCCTAGAATTTCGCTCCGCTCTTTACCCAGACCCCTCGCCATTTTTGGATGTGGCTTGCCGCTTTCGCGCGTCGACGGGCCACGAGAGGCCACTTCCCATCCGAAAGGTTGCAGCAAAAAAGGCAGAAGAAACTACAAACAGACTCCCCAGGGCCCACTCCACAGTCATGCGCATGCAAAGCAACCATACATATGCATGCCCCATTCAAACAAGACACACATCTTTCACGCAGCAAGGAGTACTGAAAAAACGCTTTTTTAGTACTCCCTGCAGACCTGACACACGCACTGACCTGGTCACATGACACCTCACCATCACGCATGACACCTCAGTGACCATGGTGACCTCACCATCATTATCACCAAGACAGCAAGAGTCCATATCACATGGACTCTTGATATCACAGTCCGTGCGCCAAGGGTAGGCACTTCACTCCATTTTTGAAATCGCGTTTTTTCCAGGTTTATCATCGGTAATCGATGGTGGTGGGTATCACAAGGTCACACAGAAAATTTTATTGAAATCCACAGTGATACCACTCAGATATGAAGGGTTGAAGATAGGCAGTTGCATAAGGCGAAATCAATACAATTTGTGGCACCAACAGCATCTCCGAAGTATCATCAGTGGATATAGTCACAAAACATCAGAGTGTTTTTTTCAAGCACACATCACTCACTTACACCAACAACCCTGTGTGGATCGAAACAATACAGATCAAAGTTCAGAATAGGCAAGAATACGGCAATTGTGACCGCAATCACTATAGCAACTCCATAGCAACCCATAGCAACGCCATAGTAACCCATAGTAACAGCTTCAGTTTGCTGTGAAATGAACTGATAACGACATACTGGCAGGCTCCTGCGGGTACTAAAGCGTAAGAGCTATACAGACATTCTTCTGGCACAAAAACAACACAGAACTTCCTCGTTGTACGCCGTACACCGCAACGTGGAGGGTAAGTACGCGCGCGCGCGCGAATTGCTGCACAGGACATACGTGCCCACAGTCATGCCATCTCAAGTGATTCCAAGTTGGCAAGAAGTTCCTCAGGACCTCTGTTGGTAGCTTCTTTCCTTCTTTCCATGGTGTGATATCTGCCTCCCTCTCCTTCAACTGCTCCATGCAGCAGTCATGAATTGCCTGCTGGTGAGCTTTGAAATTTTGGTGAAGCGTGCCTGGCTGCGTATATCAAAGCATCCCCTCATCAGAGGGTTTCTCCAGCAGCCACTGTGCTTTTTGATTGTTCGTAAACATCAGTAGGCCTTTCAGCGCAACCGTGTCAAAACTTGGCTTTCAGTACGCTTTGAGAATTCGCCCAGGTAGGACGACGCATCGTCGTTCTCCTCCGCCTAAAGCGCATACTTCTCAGTGCCTACGCACATAATGTCGCCTTGCGCAGCGATGCGCAAGCCCTGGTAAACAAGAACTCTCCTGTTTCCGAATGGAAAGACGACGCTCAAGACGATAAGCAGCGTTTCAAACGCGAGCAAACAACAGTTCTTTGTGAAAAAACTCTTTGCTGGTAGTGTACGTGACCTACAACTCGCAAAAATGTACGCACTATGACGTATGCGGGATCTACTGAAAGCTGAACGTCAGAGCAACACGATGCGCCCAACTATCAGCCCGTACAACGAAGCATAGCGCGTACCTGTACAGTTTTGCGCATGCACTTGACTGGTGCCACGCAAGTACGCACTCTCACCTTAGCAAATTTTGACAGGTCCTGTCACGTGACTGAAGTGCCTACCAAGGGGTACTCAAGGGCTGATTTTATTTGCAACCGCGGGAAACGAAGTCACCAAGACGCCTTCATTTGAGGCTTTTGGAATTGGAGAATTTATTGAATTTAGGTATGGCTCTCGTCCCTTCTAGAGAACTAACCAAGACCCTGTGGGGGCAGAAGGAGACTTCTTTGGCTCCGTGAATACACTAGCTATGCGGTGGTCTATTTAGTTTGAGTGTGTGGTTCGTATTCAAAGTGTTCCAAGCCGCAGTTCACTCGAAGGTCATCGTGGATACGTCTGCACTTGAAAATCAAGGTTGGAAAGGACTGCCTGGTGTGTCCGAACGGTATGTTTTGCACTGAAGGCATTTTTTGTATGAATTGTTGAAAGTGTCTACTTGTTCGAAATGCAAAAGAGATGGTCGTAGATCCTTGGCCCACAACACCCCACTAAATAAACTATGACCTGTCGTGAAATTATGTGAAATTGATCAACACAATCATCCACAAATTATCCTATGCCAAAGTACTGCAAATGCAAATAATGGCATCCCTTTACCTAGGTCATGTTTGTAGGGCCTTATGCCACATCTTTGCATGATTTCCCCATGCAAATCATGTGCCTAGCTTCGAAAACATATTGCGCTAAGGGCCGAATATATACCTGTGAATCAGAACAACAGCACTCACTATTGCTTTCATGAGTGGTAATGGTCAGCTGAAAGGAAACTTCTATCCATCAACTCATAAGTAAAGTAATGACTAATCTCCTTGCAGCGCATGTGGTTCCTTCGTATTTACATGTACCGTAAAGTACCGCCAGAGCGCCCCACCATCTCGTCCTTTCGGGGTCGTATCGTGGAGGTGGTCTCCTGTCTGTAGGTTATACGACACGAACTTTGTGCACATATTGCACGTTCTGCAGACAATCCGTACCTTGGAGCGGACACGAGCTTCACACAAAAACCTGCTTAGTGTGACCTTAGTACACTAAGTTGCTCATGCCGTACGAACTTCGTTGCACTCTGCCATACGATTTTCCTTTCCCTGGCTGTAAAATCTGTCTCGGCAAAATCAAGGTGGGGCGCTCTCGCGGTACTTTACAGTATGTGCGCCTCTCTGTGTTCGGTGAATGATTTTGAATATTTGCGCACGACTTCAGGATAGTGCACATTGTGTGGATGTACCTGCGTATGTAATCCTTTCATGATTTAAAAATTAGGAGTCGTGCTTCTCATCACCGTGGAAAAGTAAATGTCGGCCAATTACGTAGCGTTTGGAGACTTGCACAAGTACAGTTGCGTGTCAATTTTGCGGCAACCGCGGAATAAAATGAATATTCTGGACGACTGAAGCTACAAAGCCATCTTGTGTTAACAGATCAAAAAGACAGTACTTCGAAGTACCTGTATTTATCACTAGTATTACCCTGAGACAGAGGTGCTCATCTCTAGAGACTGGCTTGTAATGGCAACTTTCATGATGCTGACTGTCTACATTTACTTGAAGTAGGACTATAAATACTAAATATAAGGTCTATAAGCTGTCAGTGTGGTGCTGTTGGATACCCGACATGCCATGTGACTGACCGCCAGATACTAGTAAACGACATGCGATTGTACCGGTCACAGTGTAGCTGGGTTTTCACGAAACAATGAAACTTATACGATTGTGAGAAAAGTTCAGAAACCACACTTACACATGCACACACGCACACACACACACACACGCACACACACACACACACACACACACACCTGTCCTGTTCTGTTGAGCCACTACCACAACTTGGCACAAGGATCGCATCGGCCCCAAAGGGGCAGTAGAGCGAAAGTGAGAGGTGTTGGCTTCGAGTTCACCTATCTCTACGGTGAACACAACCTCAATCGAAAGTCATGCCAAACGGATTTATCTACCACGCGCGTGCGCGTATACAAAACGGAGGAAGGATTACTTACTCTCCCTGTGTGATGTATCTGTTGTATTCGTGAACAATGTCATTGATGTTTTCCATGCATGTTTTTGAATATGCGAGCACAACTTCCAACATCAAGCACATTCTTGCTTCTCATCAGCATGTACAAGTTTATGTTGGGCAGTTATGTAGCGTTTGTTTTACCGGCTGCGTTTGTTGGTGCTTGCAGGTCATTGGCATGCTGTCTGTTTCACAGAAGCTCGCGTAACAGGTTCACCGTACAGCTATGAATGCAATGTAGCGTGCCGAAGCCACTTCGGTATGACGTGATGCCTAATTTCCTGGTTGTACCAAAATTGAGAGTATGCAAGTGATCGTCAAGCCTGTCCCCTGTACAGTAGCCGTCTTGCCTTGTTACGTCTGGTTCTGACTCTGCGTTGTCGTATACTCCATGCAGTGTTACAAGGAATACTGCTCCCTTCTCAAGCAATTCATTGGCAACAAAACGCTCGGCTATGCCCTGTAACTTTGCTGTGCGGTTTGTGCTTTGTCAATGTTGTGTACCAGTTCATGATCTGTGCTTGCTGGTCTGTTTGTTTTCTCTCGCACAATTGAGGCGCTGTAGCACAGTGTCGATCATCCTGCCCAGGCTCTGATTTCACGTACCACAGTACGGTTTCTCTTGTTGCTCACTGTAATGTGCATGATACAAGCTCCTTGGTACTCCATCATCACCTGGTGCTGTTGCTGCCATTATTGGACCCTGCTGATATCCTTCTCGCAATGCCCGAACGTTATTCCAACAAATGCACAACTCGCTCTTAGTTGTCACATTCGGTTTGGTCTCGTTCCAGTCTTTCGAATTGAGTGAGTGCGTAAACTTGTATGAAGTGGTGAAGCAAAAGCCGTGCGCCGGCAAACATTCAATGTCCGGGTGTAATGACGCACCAAGGCCCCGGGACTTGCGTCCAATTCCTGAGTGATTTTTGTGTGCCTAGCCTCTAGGTATCATACCATATTTGCTTGGTTCAACCGTTTTGGATGCCCACTGCATGCAATACCATCATTCACTGTATTATGTGTGTATGTTATCCAAGAAATCTCCCAAATTTTTGGGTGGACAAACCTCGCCATAACTTAAGCATAAGTCAGTAACCTGGCATTTTGCACCAACAGAACTCCTAGGATATCAGCGCCGTCTCAGTACCTGGGGACAGTTGTAAAGAAAAAGAAAAAATACCCTTGGCCCACAATGCCCCACTAAATAATCCGAAGGGTGTCGCGAAGACGACAATTTCCTTACCTTTCTTTCGTGGTCGAAAAATGACACTTCGCTTCGTCCGTTGCGCATGAAACGAAACATGAGGGTAGTGTTTATCAATTAGAATAGGTATCATGCACGAAGGAATGGCGAAAAGGTACTATGCTCGAGCGCTGGTCGTCGTCTTGTTTGTCAATTTTGAGTCCCATTGAGAATTTTCTTCTCCAGACCTCTCAAATTTCCCGCGGTTGCAAATAAAAGTGCAACTTCTAGACGACTTTTTTGAATTTGGCGCACGGACTGATCACTCCTACTTCAGCGTACATGTACTTGAACTCATCATCATCATCATCACTTGTACCAAGAGTACATAAGGCCAAGTAAAAAAAAAAGCTAGATGATCGTCCCCGTCCGCCCCAGTTTTTGTCAGCGCCCCAAGAAATATTTTATTTTTTAAATCGTGAGTTTTTGCCGAAATCGTTGGTTTTTTTACCGATCGCGGATGCAGGAAACATGTGCAATACTTTCTTTACTATATATGGACCACATACTAGAGAGGTTCCGGGGTACGATTTTCCGTGCCAAAATCCGTATGGGCGCTACGGATTTTTTCCAGGCCTGCTCCATACGATTTTTCGGCACGAGAATCCGTGTAGACTGGCTTTCATACGAACCATGCTTCGTATGGAGATTTTGCGTCATCGGGTGCAGAAAGATTTTTCGCGTACAAATTTGGTACGAGAAACATCGATTTTTCGCGGGAAGTTTTGATTTCGGTACAAATTTTAAAAAAAAAGGCATAGCGCGGGAATGTGACGTGTTCGCGATCGTAACCTAGGCAATGACGGCAAACACATAAGTTCCGTACCCCGGAACTTTTCACTGCTCGAAAACGACGTATAAAAAATCCGTAGAGCCTCCACGGATTTTGGCACGAAAAATCGTACTCCGGAACCTCCCTACTACTAGTATATCACAACGTCAGTATCGATCTGCTGAAGAAAGAAAAAGAAAAAAAGAAAAAAAAAGAAAAAAAGAGAAAAAAACCTTGATGTTGTTGTGTACACTGTGTGCATGAGAGGGTAAAAAGTAAAAAAATAAAAATAAAATCCTCCCGCCCTCCCCGATTTTTCCAAAAAAAAGGACGATCATCTAGTAATTTTTTTTACTCGGCCTAACTACACAGTAGTTATGTACTCTTGCTTGTACCAAGAGTACATAACCCCCCCTAAGTACTCTTGCTTGTACTCGTCACTCGTGCATGCAGTGGATCGTTGTCATTCGTTGACCAACAAAAACCCAAATACTTGAAAAAGCCACTGGCACTGATATGAGTGAGCTGCATGCACAGTGCAGTGCAAGTGTGCAGAATGTCGGAAGAAAAAAAGGAAAAAATGTAGTGGCAGCGGTGGGATTCGAACCCACGCCATCGAAATGACTGGAGCCTAAATCCAGCGCCTTAGACCACTCGGCCACGCTACCAATCTACAAGAAATGATGCAAGGTTGGCTTATGACTGTACTGCGACGGTCGTAAGAAAGAATGATTACCTCACACTACAAAAACTGTCTGATTCAACTTTTCAACAAATGCACACATTTTTCAGAGTCAGTTTTGCTTTGCAGTCTGAAAATAATAATTGTTTGTAGTTGTATTAGTAAACACACTTCTTGTTGGAGCTTCTCGCTCGTTTATAGTTGTCATGGACGGTTCTGGTGCGGTGTCCCCCGAAGCTCTTAGCCCAGTTGACGACATTGGTGAAGATGAGGAGGATGACCCCGTAGTGAATGAAGTTAGTAATTTTTCTCAAGGTTTCTCAGACGGTATCCCATTGAGCAGATTGTAGTTTGTATTACTAATATTTTGTTATCGTCGTCTTCTTCTTGTGTCCTATTCCTGTAGATTCCTGTTTACGCCGCGCAAAGTTTGGCAAAGTCGCTCTTCCTGTTCCAGGTACTGCACGAACGGCCATCTATCCATGAGCCATCAGCAACGATGGGGGTCAAATTTTTGAAAATTGATTTTTTTGGGATACGAAGAAGGACAAAATGTTACGAGTTATGACTGTATTGTCCTTCCTCCTATCCACGAGTACACTACATGTAGTGCATCACCATCCAAGTGCGAATTTGCACGCCTGATTTAAAAAATTGCTTGTATTATTATTTTTGATGTGGAAAAATATGTAAATGCAGCAACTTATAGAGCTACAGCAAAAGCATAGATCGAGAACCTCACACTACATGTGTAGACAAAAAAATTAAATTCAGCAGAACAGGTCAAAAACAGGGTGAAGGTGAAGAAATGACTAAAACATCATGAAAACATCTACAGTCCATTTCAAAAAAGATTAGCAATCCTGGCTATCGCCCGGGGAGTTTGCCGTCTTACCGTATGAGCGCTCGAGCGGCTGCGCTGCCTGGAAAAACTCACTGTGAACTCGAAGAAATATTCTGCGCGAAAGCATGAAAAATGACAACTCACTGACGTCGGTACATGTACGTCTGGTTTACAACAAACGAGTTCTTCCTCGTATCGATATGGAGTCGACAGTCAGAGCTAGAGAGGACATGTCGAAAGTGTGGTAAATTTTGACGGGCGGGATGCGTCCCAATTCGTTTTGTGACCAAATAGATTCTTTGAGCTGCCGCGGATGAAATTTACTCTCACGATGTGACGAAAACGGCATCGACACAGACTCATTCCCAAGGCCATGATGTGGCAAAGCTATCCGTGTGACATCGACGACATTTAGAGAAAAGCAGACGCCTGTGAAAGCTGAAAGAAGATGGCGTTGACTCCTAAATTCAAATAAATTGGCGATCTTGAAATGCTAAAATAATTCTCAAACAGAAATCGATCGATCGATGTGCGGGTGTATTAAAGGGGAAGTTAAGGCAAAAATTAAAATTTCACCAGTTGTAGTCTTCGGGGTGCTGAGTCGAATGGTCTTGGTCCGAGAAAGCTGAGACGCTCCCTTCCTACTTGAATCCCAATCGAACTCGCGCACTTCCACCGAAACTGGGTGACTGCGCCCTACGAGATGGGGATTTGTATGCAAAATGTCACTAAAAGCACCATTTCGTTCTTATAAAAGCACGGATGACCGCGATTGGCCCATATGTTGTAGTCTTTTGGACGCTGAGTCGACTGGTTTTGGTCCGAAAAGGCTGCGATGCAGCGTTCCTTCTTTATTCCCAATCGAACATGGTTGAACAAGCGGTCACGTGCTCCTGCGTACACCAGTCACCTGGTCACCGTGCCTGCAGGGTACAACTTACAGCCTGTTTTGACCTTTTTTGGGTGCAGTCCTGTCACTCGAGTTGAACCTTGGTGTGAAAGTTGTCGCCTGCTGGCGTGGTGACCAGGTGATTTGGGCACCCATGAGCACGTGACCGCTTCTTCAACCATGTTCGATTTGGAATAAAGGAGGAACGCTGCATCGCAGCCTTTTCGGACCAAAACCAGTCGACTTAGCGTCCAGAATACTACAACATATGGGCCAATCGCGGTCATCCGTGCTTTTATAAGAACGAAATGGTGCTTTTAGTGACATTTTGCATACAAATCCCCATCTCGTAGGGCGCAGTCACCCAGTTTCGGTGGAAGTGCGCGAGTTCGATTGGGATTCAAGTAGGAAGGGAGCGTCTCAGCTTCCTCGGACCAAGACCATTCGACTCAGCACCCCGAAGACTACAACTGGCGAAATTTTAATTTTTGCCTTAACTTCCCCTTTAAACAACACGTAGCTACAGCGCAATGACTTCCGCGTTCACTCACACCGTTTCAGTGTTGTGTGTGTTCACAACTTCACATGGCGTGAGCCAGTCAAGTGTCAGTCAGTTCGGCAG